TTGGATACATCATATTTAAATGCTTACGATGACAACTATAATATTGTGCAAATGTACTTGCATTAAACATTTCCGTGAAAGTGCCTCGTTGTCAACGACTTGGCCGCTTGACAACAACAGCTTCATCAAAAAGGAAGTCGAGGGAACAAATTACAAACAAATTTTCTTTTCCATATACGTATATCTATTCTCGTTAGTTTACTCAATTTAATACGCCGTCGTATGTGTGCGCGGTTAGACCGTCACAGCACACTCAACCTCACTCCTCCTCGTCAATCTCATATTTTTACGCTCCTCGTCGCGCACTCGCAACGCGATTTCGTCTGTTTATTTATTATTCAGTTTAATTTAAAGATCGTATAATCCGCTCGATGATTTCATATACAACAAACACAGTCGCTGGGATCTTTCTTTTTTACGTACATCACTCGTGCTGTTACAATGAATTATCTTATGCTGTCTCATCTACGTGAATCGATACAGATTTCATTATAGCCGTATTATCTAGTTTCTTTTTTTTTCTTTCTTTCTTTCTTTTTTTTTTTTTTTTTTTTTTTTTTTCCTTTAATAATTATATAATATTATTTGTCATATATGCACGCATACACACGCGCGCACACCAACACACCCATATATATATATATATATATATATATATATATATGTATGTATGTATATGTATGTATGTATGCATGTATGCATGTATATATAAATACATCACACATTCTCTTATTTACAATACATCGCTGCTCAATCTCTCGACCTCTGCGTCAGATTTACTCGTGCATTCAACGATTTATGATCAGGCACACACTACTCGTCATCCACATAACGCTAAATACGCAATTCGCTCAATCCAGTCTCATTTCCTTAAAAATAGAAGAAGAAAGAGAAGAAAAAGAGGAAAATAACGATGTTGAAGAAGAATAAGATAAACGGATGGAGTAGGTGATGAAGGAGGAGACGGGGGAAGCAAAAAAAACAACAAAGAATATAATATGATAATGATTGTCGTCGTCGTCGTCGTCGTCGTCGTCGTCGTCGTCGTCGTCGTCGTCGTCATTATCGTCATAAAAATAAAATAATACGAGAACATAAAGAGAGAAGAAAGATATAGGAGAAGCAGGAAAATAAGGAGATAAAGAAAAAGGAAACAAGATTACATAAATTAATCGTTCGTTTTAAATGCCTACACTCCCAATCTCGCCACGATCGACTATGACACACGAAAGCTCATTCGCACAGCATACACTTATTGCTAAAATGAGAAGAAAATTAGGAAGAAGGAAAAAGAAAGCGCGCACGCAAATGCTGCTTGCGTGATGTCGGGGAGAGTCGAGGGGCAAAGTTGATCGGCAATGCGTCGCCGGGTGTTCTGAAACACTTTTTTTGTTTTTTTTTTTTGTTTTTTTTTTTGTTTTGTTTTTGTTTTAAAGGCACTAATCCTCCCCGAGAAAATCAAAAAATTTATACAAAGCGAGCCGGCGAGAGACGTTGGTATAGCATAATTATACGTTTAACGGGCCCTCTTGAGATATTCGAACGACGGCCTTATACGGGGAAAGGCCTCGCTTTTTCCATTTATTCTGCCGGTAACGCGTTAATTCGAAAGCCATACAGTCCGCTCTTGTTACGCAATCCAGTCGGTCTGCTTTTACAATTCATCTGAAACTGGTATAAGAACGGTGCAAGATGACAAGTTTCCCCCGTTTTCCACGAAGACCATACTTTTTTATTTTTTTTTCTTTTTTTTTTTTTTTTTTTTTTAACGCTAAACGTCAGCCAAGAGCCACGAGCCCTGAACAGCAAGGTTGAGCACACTAGCTTTCTCTCTAACACGCACGTGCGCGCACGCACGCACGCACGCACGCACGCACGCGTCTTCGTAGTCGACGGAGAGCAATAGTAAATATTACGTTTGCGAGAGACACGATGTTCCCCGTAGTCTCGTGACGATAACGGAGGCTGGGATACCGCGGGCGAGCATCCGATATGGAACGTCGGAGGGACCGCGGTGAAATCGGCTGTGGCAGCGAACGAAAATTCCATCGTCATTGACACCACGAACGCGCGATCGCTGTTACGGAAGCTTGTGATTTGCTTGCGATTGTCGGCAAGGCGAACGAATTATTATCGGCACCGTCGTCTCTCACCCGATGATTTTCGTCCTGCGCTCGCCAATCCCCAATAAATTAGGACATTAATTTGGCGGGTCGTTATTCGAATATCTTTGGAGTAATTTCACGTAAACTCAGTCCCCGACCCGACATTATTCACTTGGAGCGTCCAATACAGTCAATTGTTCAGATAATCGACTTATTGGCTTAGATTTAATAAAAAATACTCCCCATCAGGGCACTCGGCCATGCAAATTTCAGTCTCGCAACGAACGATTTGCTGCGAATCCGAAGAATTTTTTTTCTTCGCGCAAATAATTTCAAAGCACAAATTTCCCATTTTATTTACAATAAGCGCTTTGTCGTAACGGAAGAATTCACAAGCTCGAGGATTCGAGAGCGCAAAGCCAGCCACTCGTGCTCCACTCGATTATCGCTCGACAATCGCCCAGCCTTCGATTATTGGTCCAGTCGATACTTCGGGGCACGAGTCGAGCGCCATCAACGTCCCGCTGGAGCTGACAAACCCAAATGCCCCACAGCTTTTGTTACGTCGACGCACGAATACACGGATAATCCAATGACTCGCTAAACAAGGATTCTCCGGGTTTCCGCGAGTTCCGATAATCGCACGATTACGTCAAGCTCGCACCAACGATTATCATCTACGAACGAAGCCCTCGCTCCATAGAATAGAGCGCTTCTTGTCCCACCAGCGAACGCGCGTCTGTCTCACTTTTATCGACGATCACCGGTACATCGGCTCCTTCCCTCACGCTCCCGCGCTCCCCTGAATATTGATCGTTTCGTTAAACGTTACTTACGATAATCAAGGCGTGAATAAAACATGACTCACTCCCCCCTCCCCATCCCCCGCCCCGCAATCCCAGCCACCTAGCCCCATCAAATCTCATTCAAAACAATGGTACGCCCTTGCGAATGCAAAGAGGCCTCCTCGCGTTTAATTCCCTACTACTGGGAAACGAACGACAACGCACTCCCAATGACAATCTCATAGATGTAACGACCGTACGAACACTGCGACTTTCAATAAACGTCAGTCATGTTATTAGTATCACACGCACGCACACTTTCGTACTTTCGTTTTCTCGATGCTTGGCGTCACTTGGGAACACCCCCCCCCTCATTCGCCATTCCCCCCACCCACACCTCACCAGATCGACCGCTGCATTAAGCCACTGGTAGTTTAGCGGCGAGACCCCTTCCGGGCCCGAGAACCCGAGGTGAGCACGCAGCGTCTTATTCATCAACTTCGTCTTCGAGCTCCCGGCTACTCGTCATCCCTCGAATTTCGCAACGACGCTTCGGCCTTGATTTATCGTTTGCACGCCGACGTTAAGATGCTTCCGAGTCCGATGACCGTCCGTTGCATCCGTTACTTTTGACAATTGGACGACGCGCGGCCGAGGGCGTCTCGATAACAAAATTTGCAAATTCACAGGCTCGAGCGTAGGAGAGACGACCCAAGCGATTAGAGCTTATCTCGAGGATTCGACGGAGCATTGGGACATTGAATTATTCACGACTGCAGGTAAAGCACTAATTGTTAAGAGAAAGAAAAAGAAAAAGCAAGCCATTACTCACAATTATATCTTTTATGGCCATTCTTTCTCGCATTACTATAAAGCACATGATTAAATACTCGGATGGCCACCTTTACGACGTTATAAATAACAATAATTTTTTAAGGATTCCGCCACAAAGGAAGAAGAAACATTAAGCGTTTATTGTTTATATACGTATGTCCTGGCTGCTTTACGTTACGTACGTACATTCGCATCATTTCGCAAGAGAGAGAAAAATGCTCCTTCTAAATATTTAAAGAAAAGGAAAAGAAATGTAAGGAAAAGATAAGATAAGAAACAATAAACGAGGATTAAATGAAGAACGGTAGAAGGAATAGCGAAAATTAAAGGAAAAAATAAAGATAGTAGTAGTTATTTCAGTAGTAGTTACGATTACAATAAAAGTATAGAGAGATAAGTAAATAAAAATATGAAAGTAGGAGAGAGAACGCATCATAACGACATCCAAGAAAACAGAAGACAAACAACAGAGATTGAAGGCTAGTCTAATAAAACCATTTTTGCTTACGATACTACCTCCCCCCTCTTACCCTGACACCCGCCCCAACCAAGTCCGCCAAAAATAAAATAACAAAAAAAAAAAATAAAAAAACACACACAAAAAGAAGATTAAAGAAAAAGCCAGCCTACTCACCAACACCCACACCTACATCTTTGCAATCGTTCATCCATACATATACCCTTCCTTTCGTCTTTTCTCTCCTCCCATTAACAATAATCATTAGTTTAATAGTCGGCTCCTGTGCGAAACAAGTTGATCCTTCAGCTCGCATCCCGACCTCCCTCCCTCCCGCACCCTCTCGCCATCTCATTCTCTCATTCTCTCATTCCCTCTCTCTCTCCCTCTCTCTCTCTCTCTCTCTCTCTCTCTTCTTGGACACGTCTTTCCGCCTCTTTCCGATTATATCGTTCAAAGTTCACGAGCCTTGACCTTGTCGAGATTCCCGCGCTCTCTTCCTCCTGGATTCTCTCGCCATCTTGCTTGCTTGCTGCTTGCTTGCTTGCTTTCTCGCTCTCCCTCTCTCGCTCTCTCACGCACGCACGCAGGCACGCACGCAGGCACGCACACACGCACACACTCCCTCTCTCTCTCTCTCTCTCTCTCTCTCTCTCTCTGTATCCGTGGACACCCTCGGCGTGGGCGACGACGCCGTCCCCAGAACTAATGATTGGCGGCCTTGGCGGCGTCGCGCTGGTTAGTGGCCGGGTACGAGGCTCGCAGCCGGTTAGATGTCGGCGGACGCCCAGCGGTTGCGCATGAAGGTGAGAATAAACGTCAGTCAAACCTGAGCTTCGATGCCGTGCTCATCAGCTTCGAATCGCTGCCGTTCGGTTGGATCCGATCTGCAAAAAGAAGGAGAGGCGGTTGAACGGTTATTAACTGGTGATTTAGGGATGGTTTTAACGATGGCTAGGGTAAGCTTCATCGCGAGCCGGCCCAAGAGCGTAATCCAGGAAACCGACTCGTCAACCTCATCGGCCATTGCAAACAGACCAGTGCTAATATCGCGAACTTGTCGCGCTCCACGATCGGCCCATTATTATTGCTTTAACGGCGCTTTCCTCGGCTCCTCCATCCCCACCATTCCCCGTTCTATCATTTATTGCGTCGTTTATTACGTTATTTAATACCGCGCGTCATAGTCACAGTACTGTCGATTAATTTCATGCTAATTATCGTTCGTCCCTTACAACGTCGAATGTATCTTTTCGACGAATAATTCCGTTAAATAGCACGGATTTCCGTGAGCTATTCCGTGAGCTATTCCGTGAGCTACTTGAATTATCATTATATCGCTTGACTTGACTATTCCCAAAAGCTCCGCAGTTATAAATAATTTAACTGATGATGAAGGTTAAGTTAGCCGCGATTACAATTATGAAAACAATTTATGAAAATAAGCGTATTATGTATGAGTAAATTTGCAGAGATACGGGCAGACAAAGCGGCTTTCGACGCTTGCGTAACCATACGTTTATCCTTATCATTTCTTTTCTTCATTTCACGACATTAAATTTGCATGGCAATTACCAATTACGATTCTCCGGCCTCAATTCGCGTTCAAGAGCGAGTTTTAAAATATCGTTATTAATTAGCCATAAAACTATGTCTACGAAATTTTAATCCACCTTCCTCGTTTGTGGCATGCTTAATGTGAAAGCATTTACTAACGATAAATCATGTCTTACATTAGTGAGATCATTCATGCTGTTGAAGCATTACATGACTTGAATTTTAAAAAGTAGCGCTTTATAATTAATCATAAATATTGCATTATTTCGATAATCCATTATGCATTTAGTCATGCAAATGAATATACAACTGTCGGCTCCTTGTAAATAACACCTAAACTGTAGTGAACGTACATTAGTTGGGAGAAAATTAAAAGATTTAAAAAAAAAACAAAAATTAAAAACGTAAAAGAACAAGAAATGGGTAAAAGGAAAGGAAAGGAAAGGAAAGGAAAGGAAACGAAACGAAACGAAACGTAACGAAACAAAGAGAGTAAGGTAAAGGGCCAATTTCTTACACACACGCGCGCGCGCACGCACACGCGCACGCACACGCTCACACAAACACACACACATAATAAGAAAAGAAATGGAATACTTGCTCATTACAATGAGCTTGAACTCCAAAGTTCAAGGGCAATTGGGCGTTTTCACTGGCTTACCTCGTTATTTGAACGCGCAAGCGAAAGAATTTCTGCCTTTTTTCTTCCTCTTTTTCTTTTCTTTCTTTTTTTTTTCTTCATTTTTTCTTTTTTTTTTTACATTTTTTGGCGTAATACCGATAGGCAGGGAAGAAGAATTATCGCTGATAATAACACTGCTTACCACGTCGAGGACTAGCGATCAATCCGGCCAACCTAAGTGCCAATTACCAGTTCTAATAAAGTCGAACTGCCGACCGACTCACTTAACGCTGATTGACGAGCGTTACAAGGTTACCGCGATGACTCGGCAATTTCGTATCGCGCGCCCCGAACTCGCTCCTCCGGTCGGCCGGCAGAAGCTCTCGAGAGAGCTCGTTCGCGTCATAAAGACAAAGTAAGCCAGTAGTGGTATGCCGTATATACGGAGTGAGAGCGCGAGATAGATAATCAGTCTCACCAATGACGGACGGACCCATGCCGGATCCCGAGGCCTCGATGTCGTCCAGGTCGTCGTCCGCGTCCTCGTCGTCGTTGTTGGCGTCGTCGAAGCCGTGTGCAGGCCGCCTGACCCACAACGACCTGTCCCCGCTCCCCGAGCCCTCGAGGGCCTCGTCCGCGAGGAGGGCGCCGCTGTCCGGGGCCATCGTCAGCTGCGACAGTACTATCTGCGGGTAAAGTAACAAGCCCAGAATCGTTAATACCTGCTCACCTTCGATGCGTCCTTGAGGATTGTCCCAATGGGCGGCCGAGTGTCTGCCTGCCCATCGATCGCGCGAGCTCCCCTTCGACCATTATATTTCGCCTACCAAAGCGGAATCACACGCGCGAACGATACTTTTTCGCTTCTCTACGTGTCCCGTCCATAAGCCATCCCACGTTCCACGTGTTCGCGAGTACTTTGCCCCCGTCAACGTGCGCAATGCGAAATTTACGGCTTCGTCCATCGGCACCTATCGGTGGCAATATTTTATCAGAATATCGCTATCACTATCATTCTAGACGCGGAGCCTTAACGACTTTAATACAACAATAATAACAAGAATTACGTTAGTAATATCGTAGAGTTCCGACAATAATCCACGGCTCCTCTGTAGTCTGCTAACACGTCCGCCCATGTATTTGGTCATTTAGGAAGCTTCGCCAGATATAAAGACCGGATTACGAAGAAATTTCGGGTCATGGAATCTCAAGGAGGAACGGTGGTGCGGATGGAGGTAGGATTAAGGCTGCGGAGATTCGTTGCGCGGGTTATTGCTCTTCTATGATCCCGATGCTATAAATGCGATTTAATTGTATCATGGTTTAAGGATAAAATTAGACCAGGATATTTTCATCCCTCGTATTTTATAATCGAGGGATTAAATTTAATTTTCAACTAAATCGTAGTCTTAGTCGTCTCAAATAGGCTTACGCGCGCCCCGATAAATATTAATAAAAATACAGGGATATTCATAAATGTTATGTTATCAATTATTTTTCCTCTTCATTATGAAGAATTAAAGGAGCCATCGAGCGACCATTTAATTAAACATCAATTCATATGCGCCTATAACGTCTTTATAAAGAAGAAATTGTCTTATCGATATTGACTATTAAGAGTTTAAATCACGATATTAAACGTAAAAATTTCAAACGTTTTTAATGTTTTATTTCTTTCTTCTTTTTTTTTTTTTTATTTACTTTTATTATTTCCTTAAAAGAATATTTTCATTTTGGGGCTTCTTAAAATAATAAAGAAAACAACAATAACACCAACCACGACAATAACAATAATAACCATAATAATAACAATGATGATGATGATGATAATAATAATAATAATAATAATAATAATAATAACAACCAACATATTGGAGTATTCATTATTGCATGTAAGAGACGACCGAGTTAAGCTTATAGATATGAGATTGGATCGTAAATAATTTTGAAAATATATTTACAAACATTGTGAGCAAGTTAATGCGTAATTCCATTCAATGATCATAAACGTTACAATTGACATTACGATTCTTATTATTTTCCATATATTTACATAATATATAAAGGCGATTTAAGGAGGAAAATTATAATTACACTAACGTAGATTTTACAAAAATTCGAGCGTAAGAAGGTTTTGTTTATGTAGAAATAAGACGATAATTAATATAAAACTTTAATTATCAATATTCGGGGAAAAAAAAGCAGCTCGGTGAATTATAAGTATCATATATCCTTGGATCAGTATCTTCAAAAAAACTTTAAACTTGTAGGACGCGCGTCATGCGTTTAATGCTCACTGCATTAAAAATTTACTATAAATAATCGAGCAATTATTATTTTAATGGTGAATCCTTATTAATACCTCGAGCTCCGATGTTTTCGGCTTTTGAAAAAGCGACGCGATGCCCAGTAATTTAATTTATTTAAGGAGACAGCACCGTTTAAAAATATCATAGTATAAAGGACTCGTACGAGGGGACACGTATTAATTAACATTGTGTAATGATTGCATCCAATGGCATTCCTTAGCGAGCCGCGAATTTCCAATGCCAAAGAATTTCGGCGATAATCTATGGATGCGGTTATCGCGCAGCTCCGTTAATGCTTTCGATTTTGGTTCGATGCACTCGTGGCTCTAGAGTTACCAGGAATAATTAACCTCTGCGAATTCTCAACACGAAGTCGACTCGAGGGAGACCGTTGAATACGGTATTATAACACTTTCCTTCCTTCGACCATTAATGAATTTGTAAACGAAGCTAATAAAAAGTTATTTACTCGAGGCTCGAGAGAGCAGTCGCGACCTCGCGTAACGTCGTCGTGCCCTAAGCGCATTATCAAATAACCTTTGAGAAAATTTAAATCTCGAGATAAGGAAGATTGCCACTTTTGATTTAAGCAACTTGAGTAAGTATGGGTTTCTCGATTGACACTCGAGCAAACTCTATCCACGATGACTACTCTCAACGTATTCCCCC